AGTACATTGACCTTTGACGATATCATCGGGGTAGGCAATCTTTTTTGTTTAGATTAATTTTTTTATCCTTTTATCATTACATACATCTTCAGAGTGAAAGATAAGGGTGCCGAGTGCGAAGTTCTTTACAGACATAGGGTCTATTATTATATAATAAAGAAAGAAGATTATCCTGTGCCTAAATGAATTAAAAAACAAATTAATATTAATTTAAGTTTATTATTTATAAATCATGAGTTATTACAATTCATTTCTACGTTAATAGTAGGTAAGTACTTTAATAAGTAGGTAGGTAGGTAGTTGTATAAAACATAACCACTTCTTGGCAGTCAGGTAAAAAGACGAACCTTTAATGCTAAGCATTCTTGAGCAGCCAACCTTGAAGCATGCATAAAACTTCTCATAATAGATTGTCACAGACACTTGACAGACTATTCATCTGTATCTATTTCAGAATCATTTTGTGATGATAAAGACGTAGAAGAGTCCGTCACATTGATTATAACCTAAAATATCGGCAGTCTTCTTTTTCATATCCGTTTTGAATGGATATACGTCACTATACCACGTATCTTTTACATATTTATAGATGTTTACAATCATTATTTTTTCGATTTCCAAAATATGCGACTTTTTTCGCTTCTTCCGTGGTGAAGTAAAGTCTTTATGAGATTTTCATGTTGATGGACACGATTTCATACTGGTGATAATATGCAAAACGTCACAAAACAATAATAAAAACTTTACTACAAACAATAATAAAAACTTTAGTAAACGTAATAATACAACTAACAAAACAAACTTAATAAAATGAAAACAACTACTATAACCGAAAATTTCTAAATTTTAAACTACCAGCCATCCCAAAGCAGCGTGAGACCTATCGCAAATCGCGTCGAAACAGGTTTATTATCTCTGAATGACCGCTTCCTTCACCCTACCCCGTACCATGAGACACGCTTAGCGCATAACGATACGTAATCTATAAAGAAATGTATGGAAGCAATAACTGTCGTTTTGTTTCGATGCTAACATAATACTTGAGGTCAATGTACTTTTTTCCGCCTGCCCTAGAAACGTACTATACCACGACCACATTTTTAATTTTTTTTGTATTTTTTTTTCGTATCGGCAACCTTAGTAGTACTGCTATCATCCACAACCCTTATAAATCCCAGAATACATGTAGTTTTTACACAAAAATCAATCAAAATTATGTTTTCCCCTAAAATTTTTAAAGATTTTTACTTTCAGTCCATTTTCCCTCATAGCGGTGTAAAAAAAAAGTACTGACACTACTATGGCAAGTTATTTTAAAAATTGACGCAACTAACCAAGATTTTAAAATGGTATAATACTCTCGGAAAACTAGCCACAAAAAACGCCTACTATTTCTAAACAAGAACCGAACTTTTGAACATTACAACTTGAATTGGAGATGTGCGTAGTCAGTAAAATTTAGAAGTTAGAGAGAGAGAGAGAGAGATAGATTGAAGGATACTATACGTTAGAGAGTGAGAGATAGATGATGTTCATTGTTTAATAACAATAGGACAGGTAGACAAATTGCTTTTGTGTTCTCAACAAGTCAGTCAGTACACTCTCCTCCATTGTTTACTTTGCACCGTTTCGTATTCAATTGATGTGGTTCTCGTACTAACGACATTTGGCTTCGCTTTTTGGACCGGTAATCTCCAAACTGAACTGACCTGGCATTATTTAGGACTGTGATTGTGTGTTTTGTGAATTGAACTATTGGCGTATTTTGGACTGTTTAGCGTTTATCATGCCGCTACCGTACACACCGTTGGAATACGCTAATATGCATCTCATTTATGGAGAATGCCGATTCAATGTTAACGCTGCTCGCAGATTGTATCGAGAAAGGTACCCAAATGCTCAAAGATACCCTGACTATCGAGTATTTATTAATGTACATCAAGCGCTTGCAGAGGCTCGTTTACCATCTGCCAGGAGCAACGCTGGAACACATCGATTGGGACGCAATGAAGAAGTTCTCAATGAAATAGAAAACGATTCGACTACCTCGGTACGTGCCATAGAACTAGCTACGGGAATCCCAAAAAGTTCTGCGCATCGAATTCTTAAACGTTACAGGCTTCACCCATACCACTAGAGGCGTGTGCAGACGTTATTACCGCGGGACTATCCACTACGGGTCGCATTTTCCCGTGTGAGGCTGCAAAAGCACAGGGAAGATCGCCAATTATTAGATAAAGTTCTATGGTCGGATGAAACAACCTGCAAGAAAAATGGCTATTTAAATCTTCACAACTTACATAGTTGGAGCAATGAAAATCCGCACCTGATGAGACAAAACAAATCCCAATATCAATTCAAGATTAACTTATGGACGGCATATTAAATGGAAAAGTAATTGGGGCCTTTGAGTTACAAGGAAACTTAGATGGAAATAGTTATTTGAACTTTTTACAGAAAGACTTGCCAGAATTATTAGAAGACGTGCCTTTTCGTGACTTACAAAACATGTGGTTTCAAAATGATGGTTGCTCAGCTCACTATGCCCGTCATTTCTTCGTATCACTCAGACTGCGGATCTTATCAATGGTAGAAGATATGCACGACGAATAAAAAGATCTTTTTTAAGGCGATGCCATGCCTGTATTAATGCCGGTGGCCAACAATTCGAACATTTAATGTAATATTAATAATGCAAAAAAATAAAATATTTGTACCCTTTGTTTTGATTCATGCAACATTTTTCAGCAAAAATCCTGTGCCACACAGAAGTTTTTCTAGAGTATTATACCATTTTAGAAATTTGGTTAGTTGCGTCAATTTTTAAAAAACTTGCCATAGTAGTGTCAGTACTTTTTTTACACCACAATGAGTGAAAGTGGACTGAAAGTAAAAATCTTTCAAAGTTTTAGAGGAAAAAATAATTTTGATTGATTTTTGTGTAAAAACTACATATATTCTGGGATTTATAAGGGTTGTGGTAGATAGCAGTACTAGTTAGGATGCCGATACAAAAAAAAAATACAAAAAAATTAAAAATGTGCTCATGGTAGTTAAAAATACCATATTGGGGTATCGATTTTCGAAGAATTTTTTTTTGTAATTTCAAAAACGATTTTGATTTTTTTCTTTTTTTTTCGAGTAGTCATGAGCAGGTCCACCCGCTGGTGCCCGTTTATCGTTGAATTTTGGGACACATCGTATATATAACAGGCATGGGAGTGCCATTCCCAATCTGTGATGAAACGTGACAATTACGAAAAATTAAATTATCTTTTCGCTGAATTTCGGAAATGGCTCGCACGATTTTCACGAATTTTTATTCGTATTTGAGTGGGTCCCTGGATGATTTGAGAACTCTATTGGAACCGGTAGGTGGCACTGTTATCGTGGTCCAGAAATCAAGCCGGGGCAGATCGCTAATAATTACTATAAGTAAATCTGCCCGTGAAATGACTTCCATAAACTCACGAATAGGTAATATCGTTAGATGAGTAATAAGACAGGAAGTCTAAGTCACTAGGGAGGTCAAGATACAATTCCTGTACTTCCATAAAAGTATTTGCGGTAGCAGGTACCATGAAAAGTGTCACGCTTATACACGTAATAAATTCAGCCTCTTTTGAATTAAGTACTACTACTATACTACATATAAACAAGTCACTGCGGTTTCTTAGAAAAGTGATGTGTCAAACAGGGGCCCCTTATGATGGATATAATACACGTTTTAACTTTAATGTTATATACGCAGAAGTATTTAGGGAAATCTTTCCCTAAATACTTCTGCGGCAATAATGACACGAGTGGGTTCACACTCAGCCTTCATACTTCATACTTTATTGGTTTAAGTTCTATATTGATCAACTCGCAACAATGACTTACGTCGAGGTTAAGCAGCTACTACGTGCAATTTATCGCAATTTATGGTGTTTATCATGGGGATTCCAGCTCAGTTTCATAAAGTTCTACAAATTCAATTGTTTATCATTACTCCACTCATGTCGCGGTAGAGTGTGACATAATAAGTTAAAACACAGCACATATTAATAAACGAGTTGTCGTTTTCAAACGTAGCACGTTCTTTCTCGGTCGAACTGTGTTTCAGTCTGAAGAGTAAAGAGAGCCGGTATAATAACAGACCGTGAGGCATTCCTATTTAGGCCTCAGTGGTGTCAACGCATTTGTAGCTTTTTTTGCTTTAAGTTAGTTTTCCAAAAGGATGGGTAGAGGGACCATGCATCACATATCCACCTCTGTATTAGACCTACCCCAAGAAATGTCACAAAGCACAGTCCAAAGCTACCTGCATTCATCGACATTCCGTGTTCACCCTCGAATAATTTTACTCTTTGGTCTTACTCTTAGATAACGTCGTTTGCATTTTCCATTACAAATGTTGAGTAGTAAGTACTCGGTATTATTACTTTTGAGTTGGTGAATGAATAATGAATGAACTGATGAATGAATGAGGTGAGCTAACTAAAATCGAAATACAATTGTTTGTTTGTCCACCTATTTAGCCGGATTACCTAAGTGTCTGTTGTTATTTAAATTTGAAATATTCACGCGAGTGGTCAGTTGAGTAAAGTTATCTTTTGAAGTCGTTGTGTTGCATGTTGTGATAATTGTAAATAAATAAAATATCTAAAGAAAGAAGCTTAGCCCAAAATACAAGAAATTATAAAAGTAAAACTGAAAATTATCCAAATTTCTTCAGCAAACATACGAAAACAGCTGTTAAAATGTTGCGGTCGCTCTCAAAATAATCTGGGATAAGTGGCTTACTCCACTCATATTGGCGGTATAGCTATTTACTCTCGGCTACACGGATTAAAATTTGGTAAAACCAAAAAGTGCTCTTATTCTAGAGTAATTAGTGTCTTATCCGCGGGATGAGATATAAAATTTGTCGAATCCGCCTTAAATGATATTTTAAAATATTTTAGTTAGTTTGTGCCGTAGGGTAAAGCAACGATAAAAAACATTAAAAAATCACTTACTATTAACCATAGAAGCGAGCACCTCTCCTACTTTTCTGCCCATAAACCTTACATATGTAGTGGACCGAAGGTAAAGCCAGCGGATTAGGGAACTGCCATCCAGAGCCATCACACAAACCTCACCTGCGAACATAATAATTATCACTACAGCCGAACTTTAGAAGTAAAAAGAAATCGTTATTACCCGAATAATTTCATGTGGTATCCTTTTTATAAAGACCGATCTGAGAGCGGCAAGAACGTCGCACGACTTCTGTGTAGAAACGACTACCTGCAGAGATTTTTCCGAACCGATAAGAATAAGGTATCTTCAAGAAAAGAGCCTCCTCCTTTTTAAACGACCGGCAAAGCACTTGAGATTCCACCGTCTTAATTGCCCCCACTCTTTAAAAAACTTACTGGATTAGAGAGAATCCATACATGTTGTTCAAAAAATACCATAATTACATCTCTTTAGATTAGAGATGTTTTTAATATGGGTGACAAACGAGCACACAATCCACTAGATGGTATCTAAGTGAATTCACATCTAGATCTATATTCAATTTTTTGTATATTTTAAATCATCAAAAGAATCAAAATGCAGATGCGTCATCCATGAGGACTAAGATGGAATGCCTCATACATACACACAAAAAACTTCAGTCTATTGAAGTTCACTGCTGATCATAGGCTTCCCCTTACCGATTACCTCATAGGGCGGGGGGAGGCGGATATTTGCCATATTTGTCATACTTGGCAAGCGAGTTTGGCTTGGCTGCCGCAGTTTCTTTTAATCGTTATCAGGAAGCCGCTGCTGCTCATCCACTTATTTAGATTCTCTCTGTCGCCTCTCACGACGCCCACGGGGATGATATGGGGTAGTGGATGTTCATACACCACCACTATACGGTAAATACATAAAGAAGCTTTATATTTTTTTTATACAGAATAGGCATGACTAACGAGCACACAGTCCATCTCATGATAAGTGGATGCTGTGGCCCATAGACATCTACATTTATCCTCGATCAAGAATCAAAACGCAGATGCGTTTTGATTCTTGATCATGGATGGTGATGATTGTCACCCCTGAGGACTAAGATGGAATACCTACCGTTTCCAGTAAAAAAGGGTCTCCGAATTTCTACACTCACCATACGAAACGTAAGTATTAAGCTGCTATTTTACCCTCGTATTCTTTGAGGGCGTCCGTCCGGTCGAGCCGACCCGTTCGTATTACAACTATTCTCCTAATATTCTTACATCATGGCTAATTCGTGCTACAACCATAATATAGCTACAGCGTGGCTTTAACATATATAAAGTTATTTTTATCACGTATAAATATGTTTGTCAGCCGAAAGTAAATTCACCTTTACTTAGGAAGGCCTCGCTGATGTTGAGAAAGCTTTCCTTGGTGGGGTCGTCGGTGAAGCCGTGTACGAAGATGATGAGCTTGTGGCCCGGGTCGTAACTGCGCGCTTGGGTGATGTAATCGACCGCCTCGCTGATGTTGTATGTTAGGTTGCTGGCTCTGATACATTGACAATAATATTCAACTAATCAATCAATATATCCTTCACTGTACACCAATACACAAAAAAATGAAAGCAAAATGAAATAAATTATATAGAAGGTACAATAGGCGCTTTTATCTATATAGCAATAACCGGCCAAAATCAACTTTTAAAAATATATCAATTATAGGTGACCTAAATATAGATATTATACCATAAAATAGAGATAAAAGAGATCTTAATCTTTGTGCTAGCCATGGTGTATTACCTGCTCACTTTTGCCCAACAAGGCAAAATAAAACGTGTCTCGACCATGTCTTGCTCAAAACAAAAAAGCCAGCTCTTACATTGATGATAGCTTCTACGTTAACTGACCATCAAGCACTACTCCTGTGCTTAAATCAGAACGAAATTAAAAAGTCCTCTTTAGAAAATAGAACAAAAAGAAATAATTAGGGATTACTTGCGAATATAAGTAATATAGTCTTCAAAACAATTTATAAGTCTAATGACGATAACTTTTGTATAGAATTTTTAGTTACAGCTTTAAAAACTGCAATAGAACAAAATACAGTCTTACATACATCTAGACGATTAAAAAATATTAACCCAAAGATAACCCCCGACCTAATACGATGGATGTGTAATAGGGATTGAATGCATATGAAACTAAAACGCACACCAGAAAATCATCATCATTCATCATTACAGCCCTTCACAAGTCCACTGCTGAACATAGGCCTCCCCCAAGGTATGGCACAAAGCACGGTCCTGAGCCACCTGAATCCATCGACTTCCTGCATGTCTTACCAGGTCGTCACTCCATCTAGTGGGGGGTCGCCCTACACTTCGCCTACCGGTACTTTTTCACCACCACCAGAAAATGTAGTATTTAAATTCACATATACACGATACAGAAATTATAGCAAAAGCTTACTAAAAAGGCTTAAAAGATGGTATGAGAAAACACAATTAGAATTAGCAGGTAAAGACAACAAAAAATATGGCGTCTTAAGAATTATTAAAAACTGGGTGTATTAAAGACTTCTTAAATAGTGTTCATAATCGATATCAGCAATTGCATTGTATAATGCATTGTATAAAAACAAGAATTATCACAAATTAACCTTGACACAAGGTAATCGTTTGTATTATTATCTACTGATGTTGACGAGGTTGAACGAATTATAATAAATTTAAAAACAAAATGTACAGTTGGTTGGGATAAAATCTCTAATAACTTTCTAAAAACATTCGAAATATTCTAATCCCAGCATTAGCTTGATATATCTTTAATCTATATCGCGCGAACGGAATGTTCCCAACTATTTAAAGAATCTTTAATTCACCGCATATATAAATTTGGGGACAGAGACCGTAATTATAGGACTATTTCTATATTTCCGTCTATTTACCAAAATTATTAGAAAACCAAATTAACATCAGACTTGTAAAATACCTAGAGCACTTTAATATTCAAGCTGTCAATTCGGTTTTAGATCCAAAAAATCTACCAATGATTTAGTAAACGAATGAACTGATAATATGATTAAAAATCTAGACAAAGGCAATAAAATTGTAGGGATTTTTCTGAACCTTGCGAAAGCATTTGACACGGTCTCTATCTCCATACTGCTAAGAAAACTTGTGAAAATCGGTATACGGGGCACACAATTAAAATTATTTGAAAGCTATCTAACCGGAAAACTGTGTTACAATAAATAACCAATGTAGTTCTGATGTTCTCATGGGAGTATTCTGGGCCCAATTCTATTCCTCGTCTACATAAATGACTTCTTAAAACATAAATCATTTCATGGCAAAATCATACCATATGCTGATGATACAGAACAACAATTCGCAGCAAGTACATGAAAGGAGGCCTTCCATATTGCTCAATTCAAAATCAAAATCAAAACAAAATCAAAAAAATTGTTGTTATCTCAGTATGGTTCCGTAATATCTACCCATCTCTTAATATTGATAAAACTAAATCACCTATTCTATGACAAATGACCCTCAGTCAACAGTCAGTGAGCAGTCAACTACAAGTTGACTGCTCACACCTGTATAAACTTAACGAAACCTTTAGGATAACCGTGCACCTACTCATCTCCATCTAGAACCTACTGTATTAAGTATTTGGGTATTCTTATTAATTATCATTTTAATTGAAGAAAGTTTAGAAGTATCAACGTCCCAAGTTCGAAAACTTATTTATGTCTTTAAAAACCTAAGGCACGTGGCTAAACCCGAACTAGTGAAACAAATATACACTGCTTTGTGTCAATTAACTGTATTTTACGGTACAACTATATTTTGCGGAGCCCCAAAAACTACGTTAGTTCCACTTCCACTAGAAAGATGTCAGAGATCTGTTTAAAGGTTTGAACTTTTCCACCCATTCTCTATCCGACTTATGAACTATATAAACACTGTCAAGTATTAACAGTCTGACAATTATTCATTTATCTTACTATTTTAAAGCATGCCTTTAAACATTACATGCACATAAATAAATTTGTTTTCTGGGTCCATTCATGTACAATAAAATAAAAACTTTTTGTAAATGCAAATGTGCATGCAATATGCGCTCATGTTATACATCATTTTTAAAGTATTTTAAATACACACAAGTTTTCACAGATAACCTTGTTACTATCACATCTAATTTTCCGATAATTTTATATCAAACGTCAATAAAAAAAAATTTGAAAATCCAAAAGTGCACGACTGATATGATCGTAAAAAAGTTGTAGAAAAAAATTCTCAATCAACAATAGAAAATATTTTTTTAAATTTTACTATGTTATTATCATTGCGATTGAAAAACTTTTTATTGTTGTTATTTGAAAAATCTTTTAACAGAATTATCTTACAACGATCAGAAATCAACTATTACTCTCTACTAATCAGATATTACTTTAATTATTAGTTGCATTATCGTAAAAACTCGTATTTTTTACCTCAGTCGTAAATATTTTTTTCTCATCAACTTTATTTCGTTTTCAAAAAGTTTTTCATCCAGTCATAAGCAGTATTTTAATGTAGCATACACCAAAGTACGAGTACACCTGATCAGATGACTCCATAAAGTCCAAGACGTAGACGACGATAGATGTATACTTATATATAAATCCTACGTATTTTTAGGGAAACTATATATTGTATAATGAAAATCTGTGATTATAAAAATAATAATAATATCTTATCTTGGTCAAGTATGTATCAAATTCAGTTTTTGAAATATTTTACAGCGATTGACATTTTTTATCACGAGCCGCTGTAAACAAACGATACAGTAATCCATTCACGACGGCCGGCGAGCGCGCAATCAGTCAGTGTAACTGTATTTAGTAAAATATATTATTACAAGGCTGAGCAAACACCGAAAATTTCGGATTTTCTCAGCCGAAAAAATTTATTATAACTAGATAAAACAAAATTAAACAGTCATTTACATTCCATGGATTCCCACATGATAGATTACAAAATAGATTGAGCTGAATAATTGATATTTTCAAAAGTTATCGAGTTTATCCCTCCATATGGACGTGATAAATCTATACCATAATCCACTAAAACCACTTTTCTAATGTAAAAATAGCAATTACTCGTTTAAAAAAAATAAGTTCAACAATCATTTATCTTTCTGACAATGTGCTTTTTATATCACTTAAATATTCAATATGATCGACAGATACGATTTCATGCGATAAAACGTTGAATTCTTGATTTTTAGTCGCTAGTAGAACATATGTATCTACGCGCTTTGCGCTTAAGGCATGCAATAACCAAATAAACTTATACATTTTAAATAAGAATCATTGTAAAAAAATACCTATTTAAATGGCTTCAAAAACTAAATTATGATGAAACCGGACTTATTGAAATCACTAAATAATTGAATTACTTTTTTAAAACACGCACGCGACAATGAACAACTTACTCTTCACATTTAAAAACTAACAAATATATTTAAGTTGATATATGTTAGTAGTAGTAAAATCAGATTAAAGTGTTACAAAATACCTAAAGTTGTATAGCAGTTCTCATATTCTGACTAAGAACCCCTAGTTTACTTAGATCACATAATACAGACTTTACACAGCTTGAGCTGTATAATAACTTACAAACCACTCTTATAAGGATACAACCTCTTTTCGACTCTCTTATACGCCTCTAACAGAACTCTAAGTTCTATGTGGGCTGGTATATTGATGTTCATAACACTTGTGTGCTGCTTGGGCAGCCATAACCTGATATCAAGGTTGTGGTCACGTGATTTCAATACCGGTGATGAGGCTGAATAGCACACGGGTAGATATGCGTGTTAATACGCAGAGACCGGATCGATTTCTCCAAATAACCGCCAGAAGGCAACCCAACATCACAGCGATGCAACTACTACATAAGGTCCAGGAGGAACACCAGCTACTGGTAAGCAACAAAGCCGTGCGAAGGAATTTGATTATCTATCGCGTGCGGCGTACTCCACCAGTGGCGGGTGCCAAATGCTGGGCCTGCGAAGACATTGCCGTCACCAAACAAGCTGGTGGGGATATTGGATGCGAGGGGCTGCTTGGTGGTCATGCACCTCGCGCTCGGCTGCCGATTCACATTCTGTCGCATCCATTGCCATCTCCAGACGCGCCTTGGCAATCTTCAGGCAGCGGCTTATTGCACGTTCTTTTAAATTCAATCATCCATTAATTGGGAGTAAATTAAAGGGAGATGTCCAGGCTCGGCACCGTTTCATGGTGCGATCTTTTACACAGGCGGGCCTTTATACCTTTAATTCTGCCACGGCAGGGCACTCATACCTCTTGGTAAGGCGTTAACTGACTGCACCAACGTAGCAGTGTTGTCACATAACTGTTACATCAGCTGGCGATGGGGACGTCATTTCCCTACGCATTGATATGATTATTATTATTATTCTACTCCATTATGGTCTATTCTACTGTATTCTATTCTGTTTAATTTTATTCTACTCTATGCTAGTATATTCCACTCTATTCTATTCTATTCTACCATATTCTACTCGATTCTATTCTATCCTATTTGGTAAGGCATATCCTCTCCGCAACGAGGCCTGCGTTCTACAGACTCAGTACACTTTTAGCTTTTGATGATGATAAGGAAAAAAATTTATTAGTTTAAAAAACAGTTTAAAACATTTCTAACGATATTGATCTGTGAAACTTACCGAGTTTTAACCATAACTGTGAGTGCATTTAAGTCAGGCTCTCGCACGCCTTCCAGCTGCTCGTACGCTACACCAAGTATCTTCTTGACGTTGGCACCTAAAAGCAAATAAAAAACTCGCCAAGTGAGAGTACGACTCGCATCCTTACGGTCCGTATAAGCTTTTTTCTACAGAATAAGGGTGATGAACGTTGTATGTGCCGTGTTACCTGATGGTAAGTGATTGCTAAGGCCCATAGAGATTCTTAATCGAAGATAGATGTACCCGTAGCTGTACGTCAATCCTCGATTCTGAATCAAAATGTAGATGCGTAAGGATCTCCGGTAGTAAGCTTAATTCTTTATGTAGGTAGTCTGTAGATAACCTATTCTGGGAATCATAGGTAAAATAAGTAAGCATCGAGAATTTCTCCAACGAAATGATAAGTCAAGTAAGTAAGTAAGATTGAAGAACTATGAAGCACAAAATTTTGCAGTGAAAAAAATATTCCCCTATAATTCGTTCTACATCTTAGTTGATATTCTAACTGCTAAAGTAAGTGTGTAATAGCAAAAAATGTTTTTTGTCTACAAATTAACGATTTTCGCATGTTTTCCTTTATTTGTACTTTGAGATTTTATTTTTGGCATAATTTGTGATTACAGGGCAATGGGAAATACAAAATATGTAACGAAAAGTTGCCGTATCCTCTTAGTGCGTTGTCTTAGAGCATAAACTTTTCCAAGGGACATATATATATTGTGTATATATATATTCAATATTTAATGTTGTGCTATACAAAAATCTATTAATATGATATATATATATATATATATATATATATATATATATTGTGTGTGTGTGTGTGTGTGTGTGTGTGTGTGTGTGTGTGTGTGTGTGTGTAGAATATATATACAGTTTAGAAATAGCAGATATTGCATTTCAGCGTTGCCAACTTTAACAACTATTACCACCGTGTATTGGCCGTGTTAGAACATCCACTACCCCATGTCGTGCGGGTATCGTAAGAGGCGGTAGAAGGAAACACACCAGGAGATGGGCAACAGCGTTTTTCTAATAACAACAGTTCAAAGGACAAACCGCCCAGTGCTAAAAACACTTACATTTCTCGGATCCTATAGCAGCTATTGTTTCATCTATGGGCTGCTTAATAGGTGAGATTTCTTTCTGGAGACCTTGGCCGATAGTCTCCAAAATGTTGACCGGTTGCTGCTGAGCGGCCTTGATAAGTACGATGTAGCTGAATAACGTGGTTATGAAGTTGTTCATGTTGAAGAGGTTCTATAAATAAATAATTTCACGTTGTAGCTGTATAGTTGTAGCACGAATGGATCAGCTACCCGGTGAAGGACCACGCTCTCACAGTATATCAGCGTAAAATAGCTGCTTGTATGCAATATTTCGTATGGTGAGTGTAGAAAACCGAACATCCTTTTTATTGGATATATGAGATTCTTATTTTATCCATCTTAGTCCTCAGAGGTGAGAACCATTTTTCTAAATCGGGAAAATATATATATATATATATATATATATATATATATATATATATATATATATTATAGATCTTAGCATCCACTTACCATCATGAGGCTGTGCGTACCCTTGTTGTTCACCCTTTTATTTATATATTTTTTATAAAATAGTGGTGACAGACGAGCATACAATCCACCTAATAGTAAGTAGATGCCGTGACCCATGGACATCTACATCTAACCTCGATTGAGAATGAAAATTCATATGCGTTGTTACTCCTGAGGACTAAGATGGAATGCCTCATTCCCAGTAAAAAGGGTCTCCGATTCTCTACACTCACCATAAGAAACACGGAAGCATTAAGCTGCTATTTTACGCTGGTATTCTGTAAAGGCGTGGTTCGCATCTGCTGGCCTGGGTTGAGCTGGCCCATTCGTGCTAGCACCATAGTATAGCTGCAGCGTTACTATGAAATAAAACCATTATAATTACGCTAGTCTAAACTATCAAAAAAACTTTGAAGATAATGTCATGGTAGCTTCGATGGTGGCAGCCTGTAATTTTGTCTTCACATGGTTGGCAATGATAGAATGCGACCAACCCGAGTTCTATCCCCGTCGCCACCAAAAAAATTATTAATGGATTTTAATTGCTCTTTTACCACGTGCTCGGCGATGATGGAAGACATTTTAGTATTTTTATATCAGGAACAAAATGTTTTTTTTTTTTAAATATTTAGTGATCTAATATTAATAAACTTTAATATTTATATAATATAGCTAACTCGGACTACTATAGCTAACTAACAGGAACCTACATTTTAAATATCAAGATTTTTTTTGATGGGACTGTCGTAAAATCCGTTCTTGGTAAGCGTCTATTGCGAAATGAGTAACTATACAAAATTTCAAGTCAACCGGGTGTATAGATTTAGAGATCTCGTGACGAGTCATTCAGGCAGCTGTATTTCGCTTATACTCGTATATACATAGATTTAATGTTTATAAATATGTAAATTGCTGTAATAGCAGGTCGTAACTTCCTCGTTGTTTTAGTGATTGTATGCACGACTGCCCGTCACACGATACGATGCCGGGACCACATCCCAGCGTCGAATCCGGGGTCAGATCAAAATCAGTTACTCGTTTTTCTGTGAAGAAATTGGCGATGTTTCACCGCCGTAGCTCTGCTGTCACTCCTACGCCTGATCCTCTCCGGTCGTGTTGGATTGCCATCCCGTCGGTCTATTAGAGGCAGATATTAGGGAATAGATAGTGCACCTGTGTCTGCGCTCAAAATCCTGCACTATAATCCTGTCCCGCGCAGATGGCTCCGTTGAGACCCGCCGCTGTACCGAAAGGTTATTATAATTATGAAGCGAATTCATAAAAGAAAGAGGTTGTATTAGACGCGCATTTTTTATTTTATTGAATAAGGTACAGAAACAGACAGTAGTTAAAAACTTTAGAGTTTTAAAAGTATATTGGTGTTTATCTAAACTACAATCCAAAAAAATGTATACAGCATAATAATATAACTGCAGTAGAATCTTAGTCATAGCAGAAATAAGCCAGATAAAATACATTTAAGGTAAAGAGAAACACATAAACTTTTTTAAATCGAACAAGGCTACTATCGAATATATCGAGATGTACGTTACTACGCTTAATCTCGTCGTAATCACGGCACATTTTTACAACAACGATAAAAAGGAAGTATTATTTTTGTGTACGTCTAACCTGAAAATTCTTTGAACACGATGTCGTATACCGGAATTGAAGATAATTAGTCTTACTAACTCTGGGCAATCTATACGAGAATGCACAATCTAGTGCAAAAATACTTGGTCGGTAAATTGTCTCCTCAAAGATAATCGTTGATCATTAAAAAACTTTAGTCGAGAGTCGTGTGATGATAGGTGACGAAAGTGACCATATCTGCCACAAACAACTCTGCACCCTCTCGATACTGTCAGAATGTACCCTATAAACGGGTGACCATACAGTGGAAGCAAACTAGTACAGAACAAACCAAATAATAAAATAATCAAAATAATGCGAGAGGTTTGGAGAAGTTTCCTTACACGAATTATAAACTCTAAGGTTCTGAAACTTTTTTGGGTTATATGCTCATAATGCGAACAGAACGAAAATTTTGAATCGAAATATACGCTCAAATCCTTAACAATCACTTTGCGTGTCAGAGGCTGACTATTATTTAATATTTATTTAATATACAAATTGTATGCATGTTCACCGATTTCTCGGAAACGGCTGAACTAATTTAAATTATTCTCCTTTTATAAAATTGGTTATACTTAAAGCGTGGTCTCATAGTTTGATGGAAAAGTTTAACCCTTAAGGGTGGAAAACAGGGCGATGTTGTTTTTATTGTTGTTTATTATACATCATTCTAGTTTCCTTGGGCTTGTGAAATTGCTTGATCCACTCAAAAAGGTAAAAAAATTAAATTAAAAAAAAGTTAAATATTAATAGAAAAACTAAAAACTCACAATGTTAGTTTTACCCGACTTTAAAAAGGAGGAGGTTCTCAATTCAAGTGTGTTTTCTTTTTTTGCATGAACCTATGTCACGCGACATCTTCGCAGATTATGTGGGCTTTTCATATCATATCTTCGCAGAAATAAAGAATCGATTTTAATGGTTCTTTTTTTCTGAAATAAGTTACACTTCGAGAGTGGTTCCATATAAATTAGGAAAAAAGATTACACCCCTAAGGATTGCAAATAAATTATTTATAACTTCTATTTAACAATTTGATGTCGGTTTATACTTTTTGTTAAAAGTTATAGTTATCACATGATAGCTTCTAAAGTTAAGGCTTTTATTCTTCCATACCATAGAATACTATAATAGATACACAATTGTGTATTGTAGCATTCTATGTTTCATACACTATGCCTTAGTACAGTACACTGTTACTTATAGTGTCAGGCGATGCAAAATAACACTAGGAGTGTTCGAAATCTCGTAAATTCAAAAATTATTTTAGTACTTTCATAACCGTGATAATACTGCGTGCATTTTTTTTATAGAAGAGGGGGCAAACGAGCATGTGGCTCACCTGATGTTAAGTGACTACCGCCGCCCATGATCAACCGCAACACCAGGGGAATTGCAGGTGCGTTGCCGGCCCTTTAGAAAGGAGTAAGCTCTTTTCTTGAAGGTCCCCGGGTCGTATCGGTCCGGAAAAATCACCGGTGGTAAATTATTCCACAGAGAGGTTGTACGCGGAAGAAAACTCCTTTTGAAACGTACAGTGGTGGACCGCCAAGCATCCAGATGGTGTGGATGGTATCGGGACGTTTGCCGTGTAGTGCGTTCACGAAATTTGGCGGCTGGGATTAATCCGAACAATTCCTCAGAGCACTCCCCGTGATAGATGCGATAAAATACGCAAAGAGATGCAACATATCTTCGCAGCGCCAGTGAATCGAGCCGATCGGAAAGCACTCGGTCGTCGACGATTCGAGCCGCTCTGCGCTGGATGCGGTCAAGTGGAAGGAGCTGGTACTGGGGAGCCCCAGCCCAGAGATGGGAACAGTATTCCATGAGCGGCCGAACCTGCGCCTTGTAAAGTTGCAGGCGGTGTGCCGGCATGAAATACTGTCCCGCTCTGCTGAGCAGGCCAAGCTTTTTAGAGGCCAATTTGGCCTTCCCTTCCAAGTGACCACGAAACTGCACGTCACTCGATATGTCGACGCCGAGGATTCCGATACTGGCTGAGGCAACAAGGGGAGTGCCTAAGATACGACAAAGGGGTTCTTTTTAGCGGTTAACGCGCAAACTTGTGTCTTCTGGGGGTTACACTGGACTAGATTTAGTCGCCCCCAATCCGAGACTCTGTCCAGCAGAGACTCGACTTCAGACACAAGTTTGTCCCGGTACTCAGAGACGTTTTCCCGAGAAATATTGGCTCGGCCGGTGTAAAGAGCATCACCAGTGCTGTCATCTGCATAGCAATGAATGCTACGGGTTTGCAACATATCATTGATATGCAGAAGAAACAGCGTTGGCGATAGCACGCAGCCCTGTGGAACACCAGCATTAATAAGCTTGCAATTGGAGCTTGCACCGTCTACAACGACCTTGATGCTCCGATCTGCAAGAAAACTGGTGATCCAATCGCACAGTTTCTCGGGAAGCCCATAGGAAGGGAGCTTCGAAAGAAGCGCTTTGTGCCAGACCCGATCTAAGGCCATCGCAATGTCCAAACTAACGGCCAATGCCTCCTCCTTGGACTCTACTGCCTCCGCCCATCTGTGAGTTAGGTAGACCAGAAGATCACCAGCTGACCTACCACGGCGAAAACCGTATTGGCGGTCACTAATCAGCTGGTGATCCTCAAGGTACCTCATGAGCTGGCAGTTTACAATGGACTCCATTGTTTTGGAGAACAAGGAGGTGATGGCGATAGGCCGGTAGTTGGACGGGTCTGAGCGGTCGCCTTTTTTAGGGATCGGGTGGACGAAAGCCGTCTTCCATGATTTTGGGACTACGCCTAGGGAGTAGAAGTACCGGAAAAGACGCGTTAAAACCGGTGCCAACTCTGGAGCACACGTCCTCAGCACAATTGGGGGGATTCCATCAGGCCCACTCGACTTATAGATGTCCAGGGAGAGGAGTGCTTTGCGAACCGAGCGCTGAGTGAACTGCACTTCCGGCATGGAGCACTCACACCGCGGGATGGTCGGCGGCGTACTCCCCCCGTCATCGAGAGTCGAGTTAGACGCAAAGAAAGAGCCTAGAAGATCGGCTTTCTCCTTTGCGGTGTGGGCCAGTGAGTCGTCCCTCCCTGTGCAGAGATGGAAGAGATGGCTGACAGAAATTCCCCTGGACAGCCTTGGCGAGAGACCAGAATGCACGGGTTCCAGAAGGAAGACGAACTAGTCTCTCGCCAATTCTGCCTATGTGCTCTGACTTTGTCTTGGCAATGACTCTTTTGAAGGACCTAGAGGCGGAATTATACTTCTTTTTTAGAGCGCTGGTGTTTACATCCCTGGACGCTGATGCGTCAGCCCAGGCTCGGTAGCACTCCTGCTTATAGCATGATGCTATTTTACAGGAGCGACCAAACCATGGCTGAGATTTGCCTCCAATGGGCACCACAGAGGAAGGAATAAAAAGTTCCATACCCTGAAGTACCACATCAGCGACAGAATCCGCAACAACGTTGGGATCATCCGGCGAGAAGCAAACCCGCCCCCAAGGGTAGGATGCAAAGAAAGACCGCATCCCATCCCAATCGGCTGACCTATAGTGCCAAACACGGCGGCAGCCTGCAAAATGCAACCGCGATTTCAGCGTGAGTGGCACCACACTCCGGACAAGACAATGGTCCGAGGAGCCTAAAGGGGCGTCGACGGAAATCTGATATCCGTCCGGGTGAGAGGTCAGCAGAAGGTCCAACAGGGAAGGTGCATGATCCTCCACATCTGGAATCCGCGTAGGCGAAGTAACCAGTTGTGTCAGACCATATGCCAAGGCAAAATCATGAACAGATCTCCCCGCATGATCGGTTAAACGTGAACCGAGGCCATTCGGCGTGATGGGCGTTAAAGTCGCCGAGGATCACGATCTCTGCGGAGGGGATCTGCTGTAGCAACGAATCTGCAGCCATTTGGACGTGGTTGAAGAGTCGGTCTGTTTCGGCATTACCGCTATGGGATCTATAGAGGCACCCGTAGACGCGCGGATGGTCGTCGCTGTCTACGCGTAGCCAAAGGATGGACAGGTCCGAACCTTCAAGTCTGCCGAGGCGTCGAGAACAGATGTCCTCTCTGACGTAAACGCAAACTCCAGCCCGAGGCACAAAGGAGTGTTCCAGTTTGTACCCCGGGCAGGAGAGATACGAGACATCAGCCGGAGAGGACACCTGCGTCTCGGTCAGAAAGAGCAGAGCCGGCCTCGCCGTCTCGAGATGGTAGTGGACGGCGTTTAGGTTAGAGTGAAGTCCCCTGATATTGCAGAAATTCACGGACAGCGTGACAGGGGTCGCCTTGGTCTTGTTGCTCCGTTTGCCCCGAGCAGTTTTAGTCTTGAGCGGAATATTGCCCCCCCCCCCCCAGAATACGCGGGGCAGCCTGAGCACCCACGCTCAGAAGTGGAGAAATATGGTCGTGGATGCTCAGCGAGGGATTCTCCAGGGGTGCTGGTACCCTCCTGGGGTAGTCTATCATTTAATTCCGCTACCATGTTGATGGGGGGGGGGGGATTTGGGCCTCCGACCACCTGCACTCACCAGACGAAACGCGGAAGCAGAGCTTCCACTTCACGCCGGTATTCTGTGAGGTCGTGGTACCACCCCGGTTTGAGCCGGCCCATACGTGCGACAGCAAAGCTGCCGCGTGGCTCTACCACTGTAAAAGTTAGCTGCGTTTGTAGATTTTAACTCATCGCTGTTGCTCTAAAGATGAATACACCTGTAATAAATCTTTAAAAATAACCAGAAATGTTATTATGTCTTAAATCGTTAAAGATGCTACGTACGTGAAATTAAAGCTTTTCAAGGACTACCTTGAATCTTTTGTCGCTCTCCTGTAAAGCTACATAAGTAGTAGCGTTTACTTAGTTTAGATATGAAGCAGCCGAATATAGTTCTTGTAATTCACGAGTGCGGTCGACTTTTGGATGTGATACGACATGTACATACACAGTGTGATAGTGTGCGTGCCTGGTGGCGCGGGCGTCCGCTCGCGACTCAACGCTCCGCCAGGCACGCACACTGTCACACTGTGTATGTACATTTGTACATGTCGTATCACATCCAAAAGTCGACCGCACTCGTGACTTGCAAGAAATATAGATGCACATAAGTATGTGCAAGTAAGAAGGTGATATCTACATACTTACACACTACACACACACTGACAGACTAGTGTATAATATATACTAATTGGGACCAGTTTACTGAAATCTTTTTGTTTAATTGCATGTACCTATTTGACAATAGCGTGCCGTGCGATATATTAATGCTGTTATGTCTGAGGCACATAGCCTTTACAGAATTCGTGTGGGTAGATATCACCCTCTTAAGTATTTCTTCCGTCAAATAGCAGTGCTCACACATATCTATACATAAACACTTACGCCTGTCACCCAGAGTGGTAGGCAGAGACTACACATCCATTTGGCACGATCCTGACACATTTTAGACTGGCAGTGCTTATATTCCACAGCTGTATTTCGGTTTGAAGGGTACAGCGATCCAGTATAATTATTGACTGTGAGGCATTCCATCTTAGTCCTTAGAAACAACGCATCTGTAGACTTTTTATTTGAAGTTGGCTGCAGGTGTAGAAGGACTGCAGCCACTTACCATCAGGTGGACTGTACCTAAGTTTGTTTGCAGCTTCTTCACCTTATGTTTTAAAACCAATAACTTAAGTCACAGAAAGCTATAAAATATGTGTTAAAAATATTACCAAAATGTTGCTAAAGCCATTGAAGACCTGTGAACAAAAACCATTTTTTTTAATAAAAGATGCGGCAAACGAGCATGCAGCTCACCTGATGTAAAGTGACTACCGCCGCAGGTACGTTGTCGGCCTTTAAGAAATGAGTAAGCTCTTTTCTTAATTTTTTTTATAGAATGATAATGTAACAAACGAGCACATAGTCCACCTGATGGTAAGTGGATGCTGTGGCCCATAGACATCTACATTTATCCTCGATTAAAAATAAAAACGCAGGTGCATTGTCTCCTCCTCTCTGAGGACTAAAATGGAATGCCACGTTTCCAGTAAAAAAGGGTCTCCGTATCTCTACACTCGCCATACGAAACACACCAGTATTAAGCTACTATTTTACGCTGGTATTCTGGGAGCGTGGTCCTTCCCCGGTCGAGCCGACCCATTCGTGCTACAAGCACAATATAGCTGCTACACTCAAATTGATGGTGATTACTGCAATACGTAAACATATGCAACCAACTCCTAACATAAAAGCCTACAGACGTTTTTTTTTTGAATGCGTAGAACCGCACTCCAGTTAATCATATATGCAGCAAGTAGGAATGGTTAACCGTTCAAAAGGCTCTTTGAATTGTGGATTTTATTGATCATCCTGTGGGTGTCGAAAGATCCGACAGAGGGCCAAAAAACAGAAACAGCTGCATCTTCTTATTGTACTTTCGGATAATTTGTTATTCTTTTTCTTTTTTGGTATGGAATAAAATATATTTCATTAATTCATACTTATTCATCTTCCTGATAAACAATTCAACATAAAAACACCTGTGGTTTTCAACTCCAAGCGTGGCAACATAGGCGAAAATCCACAATTTGGTAATCTATATGTCAAATATAAGTTTATTTTCCTTTTAGTTAAAAAAAGTAAAAATACAATCGTTCAGTTTCTATCAAAGTTCCGTCACATTGAAAAAGTTGACTTACTTCTTTTTTGAAGTCAGTTACGAATGATATCCATTCCATGTTAGTTAAGAAAACAATCTGTCACTCCCAAATAACTTGACAAATGTTGGTGCAAATATTCAAACAAAAATTGGTGCAAGTGAACTGTACAAACAAAATAATGCAAACAAATGTCCAAGCCAGGAAGTGCTGTTAAACATAAAGATTTTGCATTTAAAACTTATTTACAATATCCAGATTTCAATATAACTTAAATTGATTTTTAAAACCCTCGAAACCAAAAGAGCTGGTGATCTTCAAACGGCTGAAAAGATTTTCTTGAATCATAGGCATAATCAATCAACACCTTAAAAAAACTTTATCTAAATCAGTTCATTTGTTTGTGAAGCTACGATGCCACACACACAGGTACACACGTAAAACATAATATAACAACACTCTGTTTGCGTCGAGGGTTAAAAATGGTTAAGGACTTATTGATAGCTCAGTAAACTTGGCTTACCACGCATTATTGTTTAAATTTGTAAGGAATATATATTGTTTTGATTAAAACTAATTTTACGCTAAATTTAACTGATGTAACGCGATAAAAGCCGTAAAATTAATTTAATACAATGTCAAGTATGCGTGTACTTTCAGAAACCATAACATACATATCTCTATTAGAAACAAAACCATGATAATGACGGTAAGCTTCCAGCGTACGGCTTATCCCATGGTCTGATGAATGGTCTTTACGGGCCGTCGCGTAGTCGATGGCTGTTCATCCGATCCTTTGGCGACTGACGCCGGTATTCCTCAAGGATCCGTTTTCTGCGGAACTCTCTTTCTGCTACGTATTAATGACATGCTTATGCCCGGTATCTATAGGTATGCAGACAATAGCACAGTTGTGGAGAGATGCCAACCAAGTGCCCGGGCCAGTCGGGATCAAATCCAGTCCGAAAGAGAAGTTACGGTTAAGCGTGTAAATCTCACACTACAGGCAGTCTCCGAATGGGGCGATGTCAATCTCGTGAGATTCAACGCCTCCAAAACACAAGTGTATCTTTTCACCGCTAAAAGGAGCCCACTCATCTTGGCTCCTACTTTTCGGAACGCATCCTGGGAATACCTAACCGCCTCCAGTTGTTAGGGGTTGAATTTTCTCGGAACCTCAACTATGGGCGGTTCATTGAGTTCAGAGCCAAAGCAGCCACAAGGAAACTTGATGTTCTTGCAGAGGTGCGGCGGTACTTCACGCCGGGGCAGCTTCAGCAGTCCGGTCGTGCATGGAGTGCTACTGTCACATATGGGCTAGTCCTGCAAAATGCCACATGGCAGTGTTGGACTCAGTGCAGAGACTTGCTACGAGGCTCATTGATGACCTTGATTTGGTGGAAACCAATCTTGTCAGCTTCGAGCACAGGCGAAGAGTAGCCAGCCTCTCGGTATTCTATGGGATGCAGGAATTGCACGCTTTAATTCCTTCCTCTCCTTTCCACTACCGGACGACCAGGCGGTCGGCGGGACTTCACCCTATGTTGTCGATATTCCATGCATTAGAACCAAACGGTTTACTTCAATTTTTTTATATGTACAGCAAAGGAGTGGAATATTTTGCAGGCATCCATCTTTCCGTCCGAATACAATCTGGGCGTCTTCACGGAAAGAGTGAATAGGCATTTGTAACGCTAAGACAGTGCAAGTTACCACCTAAGGCTGCGTCACCACTTACCACCAGATGGGATTGTAGTCAAGCACTGTGTGCAATAACTAAGTAAATATGAAAACTAGCCAAGTCAGACCTTAGGCTATAATATATTATCCTAAGTTATAAGAAGAAATGATATTTCATGTTGTTATAAATAAATTTCAGGACTGACCATTGAACTTGGCACCCATTTAGATCTCACTTCTTTTGTCGTTGAAGTCAACAACCAAGGCAAGGAAAAATTATAATAAAATGATAAAAATTTACCAGTTTCTGATTTATTCCTTTGTATTCACCTAATTACCTATCTGCATGCCAAATGTGTACTTTCTAGGTCTTCTGGAACTGGGTTAGAGTTTTGATCTATAGGTCAGTCAGTGATAAAAATGACGATTTTTGGACGTTAATATCCAAATAACCGTTAGAGATGTGTTTACGACATTTGAAGTACATATGTATATCGCAAGTTTAAATATATTAACCAAATTTGACACATTTATGTGAAATAGTTTTTGAGTTATGAGGGAGTCAAAAGTGGCTCCAAATGGTTCGTATAATATTACACACGGTGCGGCTCGCCGTTCTGCGTGAACTTGGCTTGACACTCTACAGCGTGTCTAGATGATCATGATGATGATGAACACTTTGTTTTAGAAATGTGGTAACATATAACACATCGTTTATAGTGAACAATGTGTTACAATGTGTAGTATGTGAACACTCACTATATTATGACAATTCGTTTTGGCGTCAAAAAGTGCTATTAAGTTAATTTCTATGTTACAACTTTTGTGTGGCTGGTAATAATCTATTAAAATCTTGAAAAAATTTATCACTGATGACTAGTTATTGTACTATAATTTTCTAATCCCTGCCTTATTTCATTAGCTAGTAAATATTCATAACGAAAAGTAATAGACCTAAAATTTAACCCTATATAGAAACACCTCCACTTCAAAAAATAAAATATTATTTTAAGCCATATCAAAATAATTAGTTTTAATAATAAAATAATATACTGAATTATAAAGCAAAACCGAACACAACGATTAAAGAGCACACAAAACTCACAAAGTTCAACTGTGTGGAATTGTTGATGTCATCTGCGAGGATTTCCATTCTTTCCGCTGAAATTAAAAATTATTTAGAGGTGCGTTTCCAAGCCTTATATTATTCCAGATTTCCTACAATGATCCTTTAGAAACATGATGTCTAGATTTGGAAAAATAGGATTTTTTAACAGCTTAAATCTAATGGTCGCCACAAACGATCAGTTCAACTAATCATTCCAACTGATTAGTTCAAACTAAAACTGTTGATATTTTTTAAAATATTGGAAATTAGATATATCGATAAATGAACTTATATATAAAACTCCGATATTGATATATTTATAATTATCAATATGTCGAGAATTCAATATTTTAGAAAATATCAACAGTTTTAGTTTGAACTGATTAGTTGAACTGACCGTGTGTGGCATCCGTTAAACTTTTCATTCCTCTTTCTAATCGGCCCATCTGTCCACTGGTTCCATTTCATTATCATCTCCTTCCATAGATCAATTTAAAAAAAATACCCAATAACATTCCACTCTAGGATTTTCTTCTGTATTGTGGAGGTAGTTTATAAAAATTAATTGCACAAGGACAAACATGCAGACCGGGAATAATTATCTGTAGGCTATACAAATACAACCCGCGATACAAGCAAATATGGGCAACCCTCCGGAAAGCGGGGGAGGGAGGCGGTGAATGCTCATAGCATACCACGCAGCCGGCTGCGTGGTTATGTGGAGACTTTTACCCACTAAACACTGCCTTTATGGATTGGCTTACCGATCTGACTAGAGATCTTTAAGCCGTATACGGACGCGACCCTCCTTGGCAGAAAGGAGGGCGCAAACCCGCGACACCTAGCACTGCAACTTAACTCTATGGAGTCGTCATTTTATTCTTTATTGCAACCACTTTAAGCTAAGGGTTTACAAGGGCGCACTTAATACCTTGTGACTTGTGTTTACTATTCAACACTCGGGATTATAAGAAAGTATCCTTATCGTAATCGATTAGCTAGCAGAGCAGACATCTTTTGCTTGTGGCCAGGTTTAGACATTTTTAAGGTTCGTAGGTATATTTTAATTAGGCAACCAGTATGTAATGAATCCATTTAAAATTACAGCCCTATACTGACAACAACTGGGCACAGGCATCCACTCATTTCTAAGATGGTTTTGTTTATTGTTAGGAAACGATTTCTTTTGTCGACGTTTACGATCTCTGTAAAATGAATTCATAGTTTCCGTCACATTAAATGTTCTTGTAATATGTTTGTATGTTTGCATTTAAAAAGTAACTCTTGTCATAGAGATAACTCCATACTGAAT